GGGATTTCTGTAAGTCGAAGAAATCCCACCCCTTGATCTTGTGTTAATTAAGAAACATTATTCTCGCGGAGCAGTTGCATAGTTAAATAACATTTGTTTGTGGGTAATTGTGGTACTCTAACCAAACAATTAGTTATCACATAAAGGTACAAAAATACATATAACTACCCAGAGTAGTGGCATAATGAACAGAAAAGTAAGCAATCAATAAATCGAAACTACAGATAGATAAACGACTTCAGTTTCAAGTTTCATAACAGACTGACATAATAAATTTGGTCCCCTTGATAAGTTTCAGTAAAGAAGGACAGACCAGATTTGCTGTTACAGAACCATTGAAAACCGGGACTGAAAGACTAGACAACCATTTCTTCCTAGTTTGGAACTCATCGGCAGTACGCATCCATCGCCACGGTCCGAACCCAGGACCTTCCGGTTACAAAGCAAGTCAGTAGACCATTCAGCCACTGGGACTCAACTCAATGGTTGTCATATGAATTTGTTATATACACCTAGTTCAGCCTAAAACCTTAAAATAACTGTTTTAAGGAGTTATCGCGCACTGACGTGAACCCTTTGTTTTTCTTTCTGTTTCGATTGCTGGATTCCAATTGGCTGTTAATACTTTTAGTGCATCACTGAATTACAGCATTTTCAAGGTCACTGTAACTGTATATATACAGAGTTTCTGTCCAGCGTTTTGACAGTTGTTCGACACAATGAAAGCTCTCTTATCAACTTCCAGTCTTTTCTTCTGTCTGCATGCCGCCGGTGTTATTGTTGTTGCTTTTGTTATTGACGTGCTATTAGGACAGATTTGCTAGGTCATTAAGTCATAGTTTCGGTCATAACAAAATTCTAACTTCTACCGATTCAGGATTTTAGTGCAGCCACCAACCAATGTCATCATCAGTGAATATTTTTTCTCACTCCCGACCGGATAGAACCCACCGGTTACGACCTCTCATTAGAACTCCAGGTTTGATGTTAGATTGTAAAATAAAACGAATAAAAGGTAAACTGTACACTAGAGTTTATGAAAAACCAAGGTATTCTGCTAATAGATATTTAGACTTGAATTCGTTATTATTATTATATCCTTTAATTCCTAGAGGAAAATAGGGCTTCAGCCAAACGTCTCCATTGAGTTCGGCTCTTTGCTAGAGTCTTCACCTGGCTCCAAGTCTGCCCACACGTTTTCATCTCCTTTTCACATGACCTCCTCCATGACATCCTCGGACGACCGACTCACCGCTTCCCATTTGGGTTCCACTTGAGCGATGGCCTGGCGTATGATGTCACTTGATGGCTTTCCCAGAGTATGGCCAATCCAATCCACCTCCATTTCTTTCTGCTTATTTTTTGCACAATTGGTTCCTGCTGGGTTGGTTCGTTCATTATCATAGATCCCTGTTGCTGATCTTCTTTGGCCGGACATCTTCTCTTGAGTAGTATTGAGCGAAGACAGCTGTTGATCAAGGTCTGTAGTTTGTTTGAGGTGCTCTTCATTACGCGCTGGCCAAGTCTCTGATCCGTATAGTAAAAAGCACTGACTTCACATTGGAGTTGAAAATCCGGATCTTATTTTTGATGCTGAGTGCTGTTGACCTCCACACAGACTTGAGATTAATGAAAGCTTACCTTGGTATCCCGATCCTCGCAGCTTTGATATCCTCATCAATTCCGCCTGTAGTTGAAACGATGCTTCCCAGGTAGTTAAAAGTTCCTTCCATTTATGCTGATTGTTGTCTGTTGTTGTTGTTGCTGTTGGTGGTGTTGCCCAGGAATCTTCATCACATCTGTCTTCTCTATGTTCACCTGAAGTCCTATCTTTGATGCTCCTCCTTCCAACTTGTTGCTTTTCGCTTGCATATCTTCCAGTTTGTGGGAAATCAGACATATATCATCGGCGAAGTCCAGATCCTCCAATTTTTTTGTGTGAGTCCATTTTATGCCAATTTCCTCATTGCCCGCTGTCTGTCGCATTAACTAGTCTACTGCAATCAGGAATTCATCTCATCTGTCATTATCTGTCTGTGAAGGCAGCCTTAGTTAAGTGTGTGTCTAATAAACGAAGCAATAGCACTAAGTAGTATGTAAAAAAAACACCTAAATGATGATATGAAACAGATGGGAGAATAGCTGGTTGCTGTTAAATAACTAAATATCCTATACAATTGATTAGGAATATCAAAAAGTGTCAAAAGCAAAATAAAAGTAATGGTGAGACCAATAATGACAACATAACATAAATAAGAAAGAATAAAAGACATCTAAAGAAGAAGTCTACCATATAAGGAGGTGACATCTGACATCTTGCGTAGGATCAAGGTGTCATTTAAACCTACGAACTCACTCAGGTAGGCGAAGCTCTGTAGGTTGAAGGACCTTGTCTGTTGATCCAATTAAACAAAATAGCATAATTTACAAAATACCTTGCAATGACTGTGAATGAGGTCAACTACATAGGTGAAATAGGTAGATTGGGGGTAGTCATATTGTAAGAACATAAGATGTTTTTTAGTTGGCTAAATTTACCATCGTCTGATAGCAAACATCCTCGTTAATCACAACTTTCTTCTCATCTCTCTTCTGTAGTAAAACCAGAAGAAATTCCATAAGAATTTATGCTTGTTTAGCAAAATATGAAAAATTCTACCATACCATCATATTTAGCATGGGTTTCTTTTTGAAGATTTTTTAAATCCGTAACTGAACTGTAAAGTATAAGCGAAGATTATTATTATTATAATTCCATGTATTAACTATGATATTATCTATTTATAGTTCATTATGTTTTCTTGGTCTTGTTATTATTGTTAGTTTTAATTTTATGTAACTACATACTTGTAAAAAGAGTTAAATTGTTGTAATATATGTAAAACTATGCTGCAAATTCCATTCTGTATAATCACTGTTGTCGGTGTTTGGAATACAGTGATTCTTACAGTGTGCTCTGATACTATTGATTGGACGCTAGTTACTAACTAATGTCGAATCAAAAGTATCCAATACAGTAGTCCTACAGGAGGTCAATTACGGGGCCGAATAGCTCACTGATGGTGGCGTCTCTGACCGCAGGCAGTACTGAGTGACACGGGTTCGAATCTCAGAAGGGGGACATGAGTTTCTTGAAGGTAGTTGCAGATACGCCTTGATGACTGACTGGTGAGTACCAACTAGCACGAAATCTAGATCATGCAAGGCGGCTTCCTATGGCCGATTGCCTTCAACCATCTAGTGTACTGTGATATCGAATCTTGCTGTGATTTATGTTTTCATTTTTGAGGTCATTCTAAGTGTATATATACAAACTTTCTGCCTACCATTTTGACTGTTGTTTGAGACAGTGAAAGCTCTCTTATCGACTTCCAGTCTTTTCTACTGTCTGCATGCCGCCGGTGTTATTGTTGTTGCTGTTGTTATTGACGTGCGATTAGGACAGATTGGCCAGCGCATTAAATTTAGTATTCGCTCATAGTCTACTTGGTCATAGTTCCAGTCATAACAGAATTCTGACTTTTACCAATTCGTGATTTTAGCACGGTCATCAGAGAGTATTTGTTCTTACTCCGAACCGGGTAGATTTTACCGGTTACGAATTGTCATTAGAACTCCAGGTAACCTCATACTGCAGCCAATCACTAACGAGCATCAGAATCACGAATTGGTCAAAGTTAGAATTCATAGGCTGGCCAGTGAATCGACTCCCAGTGGCTTAATGGTCTACGAGTTCGCTTTGTAGTTGATAGCTCCTGGGTTAAAAATTCGGTGATTCTGCACAGATGATGAGTCCCAAACTAGGCCGAAACAGCTTTCCAGTCCTCCAGTACTGGTTTTGCCATGGTTCTTTTACTGACCAAACTTGAAATAAATCAAATCGCTACAAACACATTCTTCAAAACTACTTTAATGTTTGTTTTTAAATTAAACTTTGATTTTTCCGTTGATTAATCTGACTGACATGTGTCAGTCTCTGTGCTGATAAGTCAGCTCCTAGCACAGATGTTTCAATGATATCTGAGGATTAACTTGAAGTAATTTTAGAGAATGATGACTAGCAGTGGAATTCAGAATGAGCATTTCCTCCTATTTAGGACTGACTCGTCAGCTAGACATATCTGCATTCCCCAGTGAGTGATTGCTGTTCCATTGAGATTCGAACCTGGTACTCAATGTCTGTCTGTCTGTCTGTTGTCCGATTTGGCAGAGGGTCCTGACGTTAAAAGCTCCTATATGAAGTTGGCAACGTGGCTTTAAAAGGCTATCTGGGGTGTTTCTATGGCTCTCATGGTTGTTTGTGGTCGCAGAGTGAAGTGAAGATGACTCACTAGCCTGAAGAATAGTGCTAACTGTAGTAGAGAAGCAAGATGAGGAAGGTGATGTGACTAAGGGAGAGTGATGCTCAGGTGTGCTTTTGGAAGTGTGTGGGCGGTTGTTACTTCCTGGCTGCCCAAATCGTGGAAGTCGGTTGAGTCTTCGGGTACCTGAAATAGAGAAAAGGTTAGTGTTGCGTGACCGCAGAGCCCAGGGGACAACTGCTTGAGGTCGGTCACACGCGGCCTGTTTTTGTTTGTTCTTTTTTGTTTGGTGTGTCTCGGTAGCATATTTATCACTTCTGCCCTGTGACACGGCAGCAGGAAGCGCGGTCATTGTTAATCCGGGCCCCGACCGATCCAGCATGATATTTTGTGAATTTGTTTGAATTTGTTTGGGTAGCTGCTTTTTGTCTAACCACTATCCAAACAACCTTTCTGGCATGGTAGGACCTACAGGAACATAAGTTCCAGCCAGTGTAGCTCGTTGGGTCATTGCGATATGCAAGCCCGACCACCACGTCAAGGTAGCAGCCATCGGTCGGTACTCAATGGTTACAAATTACTTAATTGTTTGTCTTATAAATGTATCTACACTTACACTTATTCAATACATAAACAAGCATCTTCAACATTGAATAAGAAGGATGTAAAATGATCCAACAATACCGAAAAAAAACTTACCAATACCAGCAAATTTAACCATTTTCATATGACTATGAATAATACTTCGACTTTTTGATGAATATGGTCCTAATTTTGGATAAAAAGATGATGCAATTAAATAGGGTGGATAATGAGGTTCAGTTGAATAACCAATAGCAACTTTTGCATTCCAATGTCGTAAACGTGGATGATTCCAATGTGTCCAATTGTTGTTATTCAGATCGTTTATTGAGTGGTAATCATTGTTCGATGATATCTTTGGTGCATCATACCATGCATAATAGAATCCATGAACACGATAACTGAGCTCTATTTTTTCATTCGATGGTAATTTCCAATAATCTGGTTGATTATTCCAAGGTAAGTTGGAATGAATCTAAAGATACAATAGAGGAAACTGTTAATAGAGAAAAAAAAGAACTAATGTGCGTCGGTGGCACAGCGGTAGAGTGTTAGTCGACCATGCAGGTGGTCCGGGGCACGATCCCCGGCTGACGCACTCCATCACTTCTCTAAGCCAGTGGTAAGACTGGTAAAGAGGGAAGGTTAGGCATGAGGCTAGCAACTCCGTCCTGTAAAAATGATCACCACTGCTACAGAAACTCCAAGTCTGAAGCCCTATATTCCACTGAAAACGTAAAGGAACAAAAATTAAAAAAGGATAACTAAGACAGAAGGGACACTAATTTTTTTATTTGAGCGAAGCAGGAGTTAAAAGTAAACTCTTGGGCAAAAGGGTCTCGTCCACCTTAGAAAAATGGATTTCATCATGAGCTAACATTGGTTGGAGAACCATTGAAAAACCAACAAGGGAGTACTGGACAGCTAGCTGTTCCTATTGTCCGAGTTCGCGACTCTTCATCAGTAAGCACCCACCACCACGTCAAGGTTTGAGCCCGGGACCTTCCGGTTACACTGGGACTCGATCCAATGGCCACCCCATGAATTCCAACTTCTGTCAGTTCATGACATAGAGAGACCACTAGCCAATGTCATCACTGGTGAGTATTCGACCTCACACCCGACCATCCGCTGTACCCCACTGGTCACAGCTTCCCACTAGAACCCAATAAAATGCCCACAAACAATCACTTGAATTATATATATGTGAATCGGTGGCACAGCGGTAGAATGCTCGCAGAACTTTTTCCTGTTCTCAGTCGCCTTCTTTAGCTGACTCCGCAATTGACAGTGGGCTGTCATCTTCACCTCATACAATATCCCCCATGTTACCCAACTCATCCTTTTCCATTCGGGTTCCACTAAAGAGCCTATCGTATGATGTCACCCAAAAGTCTCTTCAGCGTGTATCCGATGCATCTCCATTTTCTTCCACATATTTACTGAGCAACAGATTCTTGGTTGGTTGGTTGGTTGGTTCCCAGAGTTTCTTGATGCTAATTCTTTTTGGCTGACCGGCCATTTGATCTGCAGTATGGAGCTAGCGAAGGCAGCTGTAGATAAAAGTCTAAAGGCGCCAATTGGAAATGGCTTTCGTGACGCGCTGGCCAACCTTCTGACCCATATAGAGGAAGTGACTGGCTCAACATTGTTGGTGGAGATCTGAGTTCTGTCCTTTATGCTGCGGAGTGCAGAAGATTTCTAAACTGATTTCAGAGTGACGAAGATCTTTCTTGCCTTTCTAATCTTGGATAGTTTTGACAACCTCATCCGTTCCTAAGTAAGTGAAACCTGACCTCCCTGAAATTTATTCAGTTAATAATAATAATAATAATTTGCTTTGTTCCGAAACAGTACTTGTGATACAGAATGGGATTCTCAGCATTTTTACTACAGTATTGCATCCAGTTAGTACATTATCAATAAATAGAATTCTACATAGATTAAGGAAACCACAGAGATTGACAGAGATTGGCATTTATAGATATTTCTGGTTGGTTATCTTCATCACTTTCGTATTCTCCATGTTCACGCGAAGCCCTGTTTTTGCTGCTAGCCTTTCCTGATAACTTTTGTTGGTTTCCACCAGCAAGTCTTCCAGTTTGTGTGACATGAGACATAAACGGTTCAGATCCTGTAGAGTCTTCTTATCAGTCTAACTTATTCTTGTCTTCTCGCTAACACGCACAGTCTCCGGCATAATGTAGTCCACAACAAAATTAGGAATACCGTCGTAGATGATGGTGTCGGTGGCATAGCGTTTAGGACGTTCGCCAACCATGCACATGGTCCGGGGTTCGATCCCCGGCCACCGACGCACTCCTTTACCCAACTAAGCTAGAAATAATGCTGGTGAAGAGGAAAGGTTGGGCACGAGGCTGGCTAGAAACCCCATCCTGTAAAATGAACACTGCTACAAAAATTTCAAGCCTCCAGCTTGAAGCCCTATGTTCCACTGCGGAACGTGAAGGAAAAAAAATCGTAGATGATAGTAGCCAAATAGTCTTGTCTTGCTCTTTTTTTCATTTCAAAGGCTTCGCTGAGGTTTCCATCGAATAGCACTTTATATTTAAACTATTGCTAAAACAATTAGAAATAAGGTCTGAATACCTTTCCGTAAGACTTGATAATCCAATAGTAACAGCAAACATACTATTGAAACACGCATGTATTTTTTATTTTATTTTGATTACAGCTTGATGCCACAGCGTATTTTCAGTACAAGAATGGAATTTTCAGCATGGATATCGGTAGCCCAAATTTCACAGACCGACCATAGATATCGGGTTTGCGTCGGCAGGCGATCGAACCCCGGACCGTGTGCAAGGTCGGCGAGAGTCCTAATCACTGTGCCACCGACGCACACCAGTACTTATCTGGTCTTTTTAATCGCGCGATATAATCAGAGGAGTAGATGGATAACAGTGTGCTCAAAGAAATGCTTTAAAGTCGAAACGTATCCATAACATTTAGGAGGAAATTTTCTATTTATTACTACCAGACAGCTGTTAATTTTGTGATAAGACTGGAAAAACAAATGAGAATTTTCACAGACTGCCATAGGATTGGCAGTGGGTACCACACGTCCAACCAAGAGAAATTGAAACCAAATAAGGACACCAGGATTCGAAAGAAGAAATGACATTTGGCAAGACATTTAGACACGAGCAACAAGAGGAATGTGTTTCGGTGCTTCGTTCAGTGGTAGAGTGCTCGCCAACGATGCCTCATGCGTTTCAGGGTTCAATTTCTGGCCGACGCACTCCTCAACCTCGCTAAGCTGGTAACAGGCCCATTAAAAAATAGGGAAAGCTGAACTTCAGGCTAGCAACCCCACCCTGCGAAAAATGGAAAACTTTAAAGCTCTAGTTTGAGGTCTTATATTCCACCGGAGACATTTTTGCCCTTCACGTTCCCAAGTGGAACATAGGGTTTCAAGCTAGAGGCTTGAAGTTTCTGTAGCAGTGTTTATTTTACAGGATGGGGTTTCTAGCCTTATGCCCAACCTTTCCTCTTTACCAGCATTATTTCTGGCTCAGTTAGGTAAAGGAGTGCGTCGGCCGAGGATCGAACCACGGACTATGTGCATGGTCGGCGAGCGTCCTAACCGCTATACCACCGACGCACTCCGGAGACTTAAAGGAATAGAATAAATAATAGTAATAATAACAGAGGGAATACAGCTACTGTCCTTCCTCCTATTACTTTCTCTAATAGATGAATTTCAAATCAGTGGCCTTCTAAGATAACCATTTAATTAAGTATAAATATCCAGGCATAATCTCAGGTCATATACAAAAATTTTAAAAAAAACTATTAACTGATCGATAACCTTTAACTAGATTGAATGAATGCTATGGCAACCAAAACAAAATTCATTCACTTATTTTATCATCATTTAGTTGTGTATCTCATGTAAACACATTTTATTCTTTATTCCAAATATTTATATATGGCAGTATATAAAACTGAACAGATTGGATTGGACTTTTTCATCGATTGATTGAACCAAAGTGCTCCGCCTCAAGTTGACAAGTTGCTTCCTTGTTTAGAACACAGTTACTGACCCACTGGGGAATACAAGTACATCCAGTTGACGACAAGTCCCAAATAGAACGAAATGTGCGTTATCCTGATGGATGGATTCCACTGGTAGTCACTATCCACAGATATATGATCCACAGATTACATGAAAGCAAAGAATCCCGGTGGGTGCGTACTGATGAAGAGTCCCAAACTAGGACGAAACAGCTGTCCAGTACTCCCAGTGGCTGGTTTTCCAATGGTTCTCTAACTAATGTCAGCTCATGATGAAAATCCTGTAACCAATCAAATCCCTACAAACCAACACTTGAACATGCTATTCTATTGAGTCTATGAGTGTGAAGAAAAAAAGGCGGTATACTATATGTCAGGGGAAGTCGTCCACTTTATTACTTGCTGAAGCCTGCGTCTTTCAAGGCGCTGCACTTTCTCTTTTTCTGTTTACTTTCCTCTGATTCAAAGCCCGTTAACTACCAGCTATATTGTACTAAGATGAAAAGCTTTCTATAAGGAGTTAGTAAATGGTCAAATACTAAGCCGCATCATCCTGGAGAGAATCAAACAAGCCCTGAATGAAAAACTTCGACCGGAACAGGCTGGATTCAGGAGAAACAAGTCATGCATTGACCAGATCGCCACACTACGGATCATCATTGAGCAAAGCTTGGAGTGGCAGTCACCTCTCTATCTCAACTTCATCGACTTTGCAACGGCCTTTGACAGCGTCGATCGAGAGGTGATTTGGAAACTACTTCGCTACTACGGGGTACCACCGACAATTATACATCTCATCCAACAGCTATACGACAATGCTGCATGACAAGTAATCCACAACGGGAAACCTATGGAATCCTTTGAAGTGAGGACAGGAGTAAGACAAGCTGGCTGCCTACTATTGCTAATGATTTTCCTGATTGCAGTACATTGGATAATGCGACAAACAGTGGCGGGAAATGAGGAAACAGGCATAAAACGAACTCACACGAAAAGAGACTTGGAGGATCTGGACTTCGCCGATGATATATGTCTGATTTCCCACAAGCTGGAAGATATGCAAGTGAAAAACAACAAGTTAGCGATAGAACAAGCATCAAAAATAGGAGGGACTTCAGGTGAACATAGAGAAAACAAAGGCAGGTGATGAAGATTCCTGGGCAACACCACCAACAGCAACAACAACAGGCAACAATCAGCATAAATGGGAGGAACCTGAAAGAAACAACCTCATTTAACTACCTACCTGGGAAGCATCGTTTCAACTACAGGCCGACAGAAATGACGAGGATATCAAAGCAAGGATCGGAAAAGCAAGACAAGCTTTCACTACTCTCAAGTCTGTGTGGAGGTCAACAACACTCACCATCAAAAATAACATCCGGATTTTCAACTCCAATGTGAAGTCAGTCAGTGCTACTTTACGGATCAGAGACT